CGTTGCACGCAGCTAGATGGTTATGGTTATACCACACCCATTATTATTATTATTGTTGACCTGATCGTATAGTTCTTCTTTAACCTGGGTGCAGGAATTTTCCACAGGGGACAATCAGTGACATGGTTAACGATGTTTCCCAAGGAATTGCATTTATTTGCAACAATATTATTGAATTTGGAGGAGATCCTAATAAGTGAGTTGCATTTTTTTTCCCTCCCATTTCATTTTTTCGTAATTACTGAATCAATTTGTGAATCATCGTAGTTCTAATATTTCGAATTTCGCAGGATTTATCTCATGGGTCAATCTGCCGGAGCACATGTTTCTGCATGTGCTCTTCTACAGCAAGCAGTAAAAGAATCCAGAGGCGAGAGCATTTCTTGGAGCATGTCTCAGATAAATGCCTATTTCGGTTTGTCCGGAGGGTAAGTTAAAATCAGATTTCTATTTCCCTTTTTTTTTTTTTTTTTTTTGTGTGTGTGTGTGACAGTTCCTAATAATCATATTTACAGGTACAATTTACTAAAACTAGTCGATCATTTCCATGGTCGAGGATTGTATCGCTCCATCTTTTTAAGGTATTGAGTCTCTCCATTTTTCGACCTCCAACAATTGTTTTATTTATCCGATTCTTATTTATATATGCATAATTTGTGATCTCAGTATCATGGAAGGGGAAAAAGGAATGGAACAATTTTCTCCCGAAATTATTGTACAAAATCCCGGCATAAGTAGTGCAGTTTCTCTGCTGCCACGTATTATTCTGTTTCATGGTACCTCAGATTATTCCATACCATCTCACGCAAGGTTCGTTTACCTACATATAAAGATAAATTACTAATAGATTGCTTTCTTTCACAAATGGTTTATTTTAATCTGTTTTAAATTTTATGGTGTATATACAGTAAAATATTTGTGAATACACTCCGAAAAGTGGGGGCTCAAGCTGATCTCATCTTGTACGATGGCAAAACTCATACCGATTTATTCCTCCAAGTAAGCTTCAAATTTTCTTCTCGATTTTTTCCTCATAGTATTATCGATTTATGTTGCCATCAATAACTCTGCGATTGCTTATTCTTGTGTCTGAAATAAATGCAGGATCCTCTAAGAGGTGGTAAAGATGAACTTTTCGACTATTTGATTGGCTTTATACACGCTAATGACAAAGAAGCTCTTGCTAAGGATGCTATGGCTCCTCCGCGAAGACGTTTTGTACCAGAAATACTGCTCAGATTAGCCGGCAAAGTCAGCCCTTTCTAGAAATCGAAGCTTCGAAATCGGGTCCCACTACTTCTTTATATATTCAGCTTGTATGATAGAACTGATTTTGGTTTTGTTGCTATGTTATTTTTTTCTTTTGTTTGTGTTTTATTTATTGTTTACTCCAATTGTTTCTTAGTCCCATGCTGCTTCTGCTACTTTCGTTGATTCAGTTTTTGTATAATTGGCTGAAATCTTAAAATTAGTATTTTTTATATTAAGTGAAACAATAGTTCATTAATTTATTTTTATAAATCAAAATATCATTGGAAGTTGCAACCCTTGGTCTTTTATTTTTTTTGAACTTTATTTAATAAATTCACGTGTAAATTTCATCCAATTTCCATTGTTCTCCAAAATTATTAAACCACTAGCCCCCCCAGGCCCCCACCTCAATAAATAAATAAGACAGTAAACCGCAATTGTTATCCCGCCAAGAACGAAGCAGTTAATTAACCGCTTCTTGGATGTAATATTTTCGTGGGGGCACTGATTCTGACACAGAGAGAAAAAAAAAAGAACTTTCTCTTTCCTCTGTACAAAATGGCTTTCCTTGCTCAAATTCATTCGACTGTAATAATCTTGTTCCTCATTCTACCATTAACTTCTGTTGCGTTTTATAACTCCAAATATTTACACAATTTTCACCATTTCCACACTCATTTCAG